ATGTTGTACTCACCTCTTCCTTGCATCAATGAGAATACACGTTTTTTCAGCCGAGCTTACGTTTTCGTTCACTGCGTAGTGCACACACCTCTGATAATAGCAAATAATATACCGTTGGAAAGCAGACACCTAAGGCTAACCGCTGTCCAAGTTTCAGCCTCGTATGTTCTCGGAGCTGATCGTCACGGCGTTTTGAACAGAGGCGGTTTGAAGACGTCAGATTCTGCTTAGGCGGTTTCATGGGCATCCGCGACCCCTAAGTGGACTGCAGACTATAACACAAGTGTCGTCCTCAGTGTGTCGTGCCACTCACGTGGCGCCTGGCGGAGACCGTAGACCGGCCGCCGGAGGCTCCACTGGGTACCAGGAGGGAACGACCCAGTGAAGCCAGGCGGGCGGCGCAGCCAGATCTCCTCGTGCAGGCTGCCCTGCAAGAAAGCTGTGCTGAAGTCAAGAGAGTGAAGCTCGTAGTCACGCTGAGCGGCAACGTGCAGCAGCACCCAAAGAGTGGTCATCTTTGGGGTGGGGGAGAAGGTCTGGAAGAAGTCAACTCCCTCTCGCTGACTAAAACCTCGAGCAACGTAACGAGCCTTGAAGACAGGCGGAGAACCTGGCGGTCGCTTCACCCTGAAAATCCACATGCCACTGACGATTTTCGCCCCAGGAGGGTGAACCTCGTCGAGGTACGTGCCTGTGGACTTCCAGGATGTCATCTCTGCGTCCATGGCTGTCTGCCACTGAGAGGAGTACTCACCCACGATCGCCTCAGCGTAAGAGCGCGGGGTCGGGATGTCTGGTGCATCCGGGTCTCCCTCAGGGGCAAGCAGCATGGACACGAGATGAGGCGCAGCGGCTGCAAGACACTCAAGGTCCTCCTGCCTGTCCTCAAGGACGTCCGTGCCAAGAGCACACTCACCCCCGACGGACGGAGGACAGACAGACTCAGACTCAGCAACAAGACTAGCGGCGTAGTCTAGACGACGGGCAGCAGCAAAGTCAACAAGCTCAGCGACTAAGGCAGACGCAGCAGTAGACTCAAACGACGGGTCAGTGACAACTGTGGCTAGCAGACGCGTGACAGTAGGGTGAGCAGCACGAGCGCGGTCAGACTCAGGCTCAGGAATGGTAGGCAGAGAAGATGCAGGAGGGGAAGGCAGGGGAACACTCTGCGGAGGAGAGGAAGGACGACGGACTACAAGGTGGGTGCCGGGGACAGCCGGCTGACACGAACGAGGAACACGACGACCGGAACGACGAGAACGGACAGGCGAGACAGGACGCGACGCAGGCTCACGACGCTCAGTAAGACCCCCTGTGTGCTCAGTGTAAGGAGAAGGAGCAGGCAACGGTGAGCCAGGCTGTAACGGAAGACCAGTAGACGAAGGGAGACTAAGAACCTGGCGAAGCACAAAGTCAAACGGTGGCTGAGACGACGGAGACGGTGGAGCAAAGAACAGGCGCGGCTGTGCAGTGCTACCAGCACCAGCAGCTCCAGCACCCCCAGCAGCCCCAGCACCTCCAGCAGCTCCAGAACCCTCAGCTCCAGCTCCTCCAGGACCAGCTCCACCAGCAGCAGCACCCCCAGAACTGGCCCCTCCAGTCCCAGCAGCTCCAGTACCTCCAGTACGAGCACCTCCGGGACCAGCACCACTCCCAGCTCCAGTGACGTCAGCAGAAGTACCTCCAGCGGCAGAGCCCCGAGCTCCAGAGGCGCGACCCTGACGGCGACCGTACCAGTCGTGCAGATGCTGTGAGGTGAGAGGCACACGCGGACGAAGGTGGCTACTCCAAGGAGACCGCGCAACAGCAGACTCAGAACCCTCGGTGCCAGCACCCGCAGCAGCTCCAGAACCTCCAGCGCCAGCACCCTCAGCAGCTCTAGAACCTCTAGCTCCAGCACCCTCAGCAGCTCCAAAACCTCCAGCAGAAACAACTCTAGTAGCAGAGTCACCAGCTCCAGCGCCTCCCGCAGCAGGGCCCCTAGCTCCAGCAGTGCGACCCTGACGGCCAGCGGCAGGGCGAGGCCGCGTCGGCGGCCGTAGAAAGCAGCGCGAGGGCTGCGAAGCGACACGCGGGGCAGGAAAAGGCAGCGCGGGGGCTGCGGGGCGGTGCGCGGGCCTGACAAGGCAGCTAGCGGGCTACGCGCGGGGCTGACGAGGCAACAGGCGGGCTGCTAGCAGGCTGTACGAGGGCCAGCAGAGGCGAGCGCGAGGGCTGCGCGACGCAGGGCAGTGTAGGCAAGAGGCGGGGTAACTCGGTAACCGGTGGAAAACGGTTGGTGGGCCCTGAAAAACAGTCCTAAAACGGTCCTAAGGACCTATGTTGCTCTTAATACCATGTGGAGAGTAAAGGGAAAAAGGTGGTGCACTATCGAGAAAGTTGGGTACAAGTAACAAAAACCTATACCCTACATTAGCTACCCCACTAAAGCCTACATTCTATTATGACATAGGCATATAATTTGACAAGTGCAAGCTGTGCCTCAGTGCAAGCAGCGCGGTAGCTAGAATCAAGCGAGCGGAGGTGAGCAATCAAGTCAGCAGAGCGCTCAAACGAGGCGAGGTCAGGGAACAGGAACGGTAGGAAGAGTCGGCCAAGAGAGACAGTGGTGGGAGTAGCGTAGCGGGCCTTAATCGCAGTCAGGAACTCACTAGCAGTGCGAACCTGAGTGAAGTGGGCCTCCTCAGACTCAGGGAGGAGGCTGCTAAGAGCGATGCAGGCCGCAGCGTCACGCGACTTCCACGCCGTCAGGTCAGCACGTTGGCGGGTGAAGCAGTCCCTGGCTGCGTCGTCAGGGGCAGTGCCTAAAGGCGTAGGGTCGTCGGGCGCTGAAAGGTCACCAGTAGCGTGCGCCCAAAGGGACTCGCCCGCCTGAACCTGACTCTCTAAGAGGCGACGCGCGCGTAGGAGCCAGACCGGGAACTCGAGCGGTCTACCGTCAGCGTCGAAGCGAAGAACCCTAGGAGTCGCCATAGTGTAAGTAGAGGCGACAAGTCGAGCGGTGGGTGGCACCGGTAGGGACGGTAGGCGGCTAGGGCAAGTCCGTGACGGGAGCAAAACGCGGGCGCAACGGGGCTAGGGGCGGTCCCGCGGCGGACTGAACGTGTAGGCGCAGCGGTGCGAAGGAAGGGCCTAACGAGCTGGCCCGTAGCGGACCTAACGAGGAGGCGCGGCGGCTGGCTGAAGGGGCAGGCGCGGCGGCTGGCTGAAGGGGCAGGCGCGGCGGCTGTAAGGGAGGGCCTACGGCGGCTGTAAGGAAGGGCCCGTGGCGGGCCTTAACAGTAGGCGCGGCGGCTGTAAGGGAGGGCCCGCGGCGGCTGAAAGGGAGGGCCCGCGGCGGGCCTAACTAGCAGGCGCGGCGGCTGTAAGGGAGGGCCCGCGGCTGCTGTAAGGGAGGGCCCGCGGCGGGCCTAACTAGTAGGCGCGGCGACGGGCGGTACGGGCAGGCGCGGCGACGAAACTAGGGCGCCGCGACGACGAAAAAAAAAAAAAAACGGGGCGCCGCGGCGACGAAACGCGGGGCCCCGCGGCAACGAAATGCGGGCGCCGCGGTGACGAAACGGGGGGCGCCGCGGCGACGAAACGCGGGCGCCGCGGCGACGAAACGCGGGCGTTTAGGGCAGCGGGGGGAGGACGCAACGCGAGCGGGGGAGGGCGTGACGGGACGAGAGGCCGGGGAGAGCACGACGCGACGGGCAGGAGGGGAGAAGGCGCTACGCTATGCAGAAAGCGGGTCGGCGGAGCGAGCGCTAATGAACAAGCGAGACTGGATCGGGCCGGCGCTAACGAACGAGCGAGACTGGATCGGGCCGGCACTAGGCTCGGGCAAGACGGGTACGACTAGTACGAGAGAGCGAGACAGGCTCTGGCGGAACGAACGAGGACGAGAGGTGCGGGATCCCACAGGATCCTAACCTAGGTGATACCATGTCAAGAACGAAAGTGTTGGTTCATTGATGTGGGTTGGGGTACATATAACAAACCCTAATATCTGTACCCCCTAAGACAGACCTCACTACAGGCTACAACATTTGTCAGAACTACCCCACTACAGCCTAGAAAGACTATAGCATATATGTTTGACATTGATGCCCCTCACTTAGCCTATGGGGGTGTGTCAAATAACATTTATATGTTTTGTTAGTTTGCTAGGCTATACTAAGTTGCCTAGTATAGGGTACACAAATTCCCTCGACATTCCTACTTGTACCTCTTGCCCTACTAGTCGACCAACCTATTCCGCTAGTAATTTGAGACTAACCTCAATGTAGCCTAACAACAATATACAGTTTGACAAATGATGCCTCCACGCTATATGCATTTTTTTTAGAGGTGCAATAATACTGACTACAAAATCATGTTCCAGGACTTTCACGATCTCCATGAATTTATATGCAAATGGCAGATAAAAGGGTTTAATATTTTGCCGCATTTCACCGTCGGCTAGCCAACTAAACTATTTATTACCTGAGTTTAGCAAAAGGGTCTAGCATGTTCATGGCAAACTTTGCCATAAGAGGTTGTATTTGAAGAAGGTAGGATGACAAATTGTGAGTTGAGCGTCGGTTGATAGTGTTATCTCTATGCTCTTTTACCGGTTCGGGTCTCTTGGCGAATTTTTATTGAGATTTGGGAACTGAGTCCTGTCACTCTGTCATGACTTGATCGTCGCGCCGCCACTGCTGTTCTGCTGTTTATCCGAGGTGGACAAGTCCATGGGGATCGTCGAAAGGCGAGCGCGACGAAGGCGATGATTTCGAGGAAGCACCCAGAGAAGCGTAGCAACGGTGAAGCAGTGGTATGAGGGTTAAATTTTATAAGAGCCTAGCATCGCGCTGTCAGCCATGGTCGGAGCTCAAGGTTTCGTTTCTCGGATTCTCTCGCCAGCTACTGGGTTGGTTTGGTCGCTGAAGCAATTTCCCGTTTTTCAGCACAGCAGCTGTTTTCTGTCGTCGTCGTCGTCCCTTTTGAGCGAAACTCGCGGACCCGTAGCAGCCAGCATGATCCGAACCGCACCTATCCAAGGTCCTCGTATCCCGTTTGTCGCCGCCGCTGCTCTTGCTTCTCCGTCCCTTAGAACGTGCAACTCGCTTTCGCCCACGAATCAAGGCGTGCGGGTTTCAGGCTGGTTAAGCGCTGCCAGAGGAACAGAAAGAAAGCGAGGTGTTTCTTGCTTCTCAGCTGGAAGAGTATTTTCCTCCATGGCGCAAGGGCAGCAAGTTGCGGGTACTGCGGACGATCGAGTCAGCCTTGGCGATGACGCGTCGTCCCGCATCCAGCTTTACTCGTTCGCCACTCCCAATGGCATGAAGGTGCGTGATAAGTTGACGAGTTTCATCAGATTCACGAGGCTTATGCGTTTCATGTGGCTTCGGATTCACGAGACGTTTGATTCATTATATTTCAGTTACTAAATTCTTCTAAATCGTGGGACAGAGCCATGCCGAGCTTAAGATCGTAGATCAACTTCTGACTTCTCCGCACCCATTCAGGGTGATGAAATCTGACATCTCTATAACGCTCCATGTCTCTTGTTGGTTTCGTTTCCCGCCTTCACGTTCTACCTCGCTGTCATTTTGTTTGTTTCTCACGTTCGTTTCATTTCACCGTGAGACGCGAACACAGTGAGAATGCCTGCGTCTGAGGATCTAGTATCGCCTCTTCTTTCTAGATTTGTCGCTATCTCTCGCTCCGCTTCTCTTCTCCCTTCAGGTGAGTATCGCTCTGGAGGAGATGCAGTTGCCATACGACGCGCACACAGTGGACATAACCAAGGGCGAGCAGTTCAACCCAGAATTCATTGCAATCAACCCCAACAACAAGATCCCTGCCATTGTGGACCCGAAAGGAGGCCCAGGTGAGGCGATTGCTTGTGGAGTGTCGACTGCGATATCTCTTGCTGCTCTTTTTGTGCGTATTTTACGTCCATCTCAACCTCAGAATCGGTTGCTAGATGGAGGATTCAGTTTCTTGCTGCGAGAATTGCTGTTCTCATTTTGCGCTTCCCATCCGCGTTTTCCGTTCTTGTGCTGTATGTACTCCTACCAGGCGGCACCCCGCTGAAGATATTTGAGAGCGGTGCCATCCTGCTGTATCTGGCGGAGAAGTCGGGCAAATTTCTGCCGCAGGATGCTGTGCAGCGATGGGAGACCATTTCGTGGCTCTTCTTCCAAGTGGGCGGCGTCGGTCCCATGTTCGGCCAGGTGAGGTGCTTCCTTAGCGTGGGACCCATGTTTGGTCAGGTGAGTCATCGAATGAGGCATGAGTCGACTCAAAACATGCCGTGCAGCGATGGGACACCATATCCTGGCTCTTCTTCCAGGTTGAAGGCGTCGGTCCCATTCTCGGTCAGGTGAAATGTCTGATGCGGGACCCATCTTGGACTAGTGGGGGATTTGAAGGCCTTTCGGTTAGGTGTGTGTTTCCTGTTCGGCCAGGTGAGGGATCTGAGGTGGAGGACAGTGCGGAGTATGGAGAGGTGGAGGGTATGGAGAGGTGGAGGACGGTGCGGTCATAGTGGAACCAATGACAGCTTTGGGGTAATCACCTTCATGTCGGCCTTTCACGAAGAGCGCCGACTTGAAGGTGATCACTCCGAAGCCCATGGACCGACCGGTCGCTTGGTTCAAGACGACCGCACCGTCCTCCACCTCTCCATACTCCTCCATCGCTCCATACTCCGCAAACCTCTCTGAACGAAACAGAGCAAACACAAAATTGGTGTTCAAACACGTCGTGTGGGACCACTTTAACCCTCTGCATTGTATTCGACCCATGCACATTTTATTACGACTTATCACCCGTACCTCCCTCCCCCCGCCCGTGCTCTCCCTGTCTGACCACACGTACCCGCTGCAGCGCTACACGGAGTTTGCCCAACATATCCCCATCGCAATCCTTCCCCCCCCGCACCCCTCAACCCCTTCCAGTTCGGCATGTTCTACAAGTTTGCACGTGAGTAGTGCGACCATCCGTACCCTCTGCAGCGCTACACGGAGGAGACGCGGCGGCTGCTGGGGGTGCTGGAGAAGTTTGCAGCCACCCATACCCCCTGTTTCCCCCTTCCCCCCAGTTCGGCATGTTTTACAAGTTCGCACGGGAGCAGTGTGAACACCCATTCCCCCTGCAGTGTACTGTGACTCTGCCTAACATACTCCTCCGCATTCCCCCCCCCCCCCCCCCTCCTCTCTTTCGCCCCTCTGGCAGTTCGGCATGTTCTACAAGTTTGCACGTGAGCAGTGTGAACACCCGTACCCGCTGCAGCGCTACACGGAGGAGGCGCGGCGGCTGCTGGGGGTGCTGGAGAAGCGGCTGGAGGGGAGGGAGTTCCTGGTGGGTGCAGGGTACACCATCGCTGACATGGCCACCTTCCCCTGGGTCAACTCGCTGCAAGTGGGTGCGTGGGTGGGAGGGTGGGGTGGTTGGGGTGGGTGGTATTTATGGCTAGTACACTGGTGGGTGGGTGGGTAAGTGAATTGGCGAGGGTGTTTGTTTTGTTACTGTTGGAGGTAAATAGTTACCTCGATAGTTACCTTGTTTTGTGCAGCCTCGTTCCTGCACAACGCACACACCAAGTCATCCTCATCCTGACGACTCCACCTGATCCGCCACGTCGACCTCGGGATACCACCACCGAGGTTAATCTCGCCAACATCGCCTGAGCGACCGTCGCACTCTTCTGCAGAACCTCGCCATCCCAGGTAACCACGTCGACCAGGTGCTCCTGTATGTGCCCGTCGACCTCCCAAGTCGACGACCACCTCCATTCGACCACACCAGGTCGACCACACCCCTGGTCGACCAGGTCCAGGTCGACGTCACTCCTGGTCGACCAGCTCCACGTCGACCAGCTCCACGTCGACCAGCACAGTCGTCAGCTGACCACCCAAGTCGGCTGCCAGAAGTCGGCGTCACCAAGTCGGCGCTGACTTCCGGGCCGACCTCTTGAAGTCGGCGACCTCCCAAGTCGGCGACCTTGCAAGTCAGTGACCTTGCAAGTCGGTGACCTTGCAAGTCGGTGACCTTGCAAGTCGGCGACCTTGCAAGTCGGTGCCGACTTCCAGGTCGACGTGCCACATCACCGACCACCAGTTGAAGTCATCCGCCGGCTTCCCAAGTCGGCGGCATTGCAGTGGCCCCGTGCAAGTCGACCAACCCCGTCGACCAGCTCGCCCAAGTCGGCGTTGCCCACTGCTGCAAGTAAGCTGTACCTCCCGTACACCCAACCACAAAGTCGGCTCCGCCCAAGCGAGGACGGGGGCAAACACACAACTCCCGTTGACAGTGGCGAGGAGTACGTGAAGCCGAAGCGCTGAAGGACCTGCTGCACCATGTGTGACAAAGTCAAGGTAATGGTGCGCTGTGCTCTGTCCTGGGTGATCCGCAAGCCAAGATAGCTTGTCAGCTCACCCAGGTCTGTGCACGTGTGTCTCTTCTGTAACTCGGACTTCACGTGGGCGAGTGCCTCAGTGTCAGCAGTAGCAAAGACGAGGTCGTCTACGTACACGAGAATGTAGAACGGCGGCAGAGTGGTGTCAGTGCGTAAAAACAGCGAAGGGTAAGCAGTGGAAGGAGCAAAACCAAGGGCAGCAAGAGTCGTCCTCAGAGTGTGTCGTGCCACTCACGGGGTGCCTGGCAGAGACCGTATACTGGCCGCCGGAGGCTCCACTGGGTACCAGCAGGAAACAACCCAGTGAAGCCAAGTGGGCGGCGCAGCCAGATCTCCTCGTGCAGGCTGCCCTGTAGGAAGGTTGTGCTGAAGTCAAGCGAGTGTAGCTCGTAGTCACGCTGAGCGGCGACGTGCAGTAGCACCCGAAGAGTAGTCATCTTCGGGGTAGGGGAGAAGGTCTGGAAGAAGTCAACTCCCTGTCGCTGACTGAAGCAACGTGCAACGTAACGCGCCTTGAAGACAAGCGGAGAACCCGGCGGCCGCTTCACCCTGAAGATCCACATGCCACTGACGATGTTCGCCCCAGGCGGGGGAACCTCGTCGACGTAGGTGCCTGTGGACTTCTAGGAAGCCATCTCGGCGTCCATGGCTGCCTGCCACTGAGAGGAGTAGGAATCCTCTATCGCCTCTGCGTAAGAGCGCGGGGTCGGGATGTCTGGTGCATCCGGGTCTCCCTCAGGGGCAAGCAGCATGGACACGAGATGAGGTACAGCAACGGCAAAGCACTCAAACTCCTCTTGTCTGTCCTCAAGAACGTCCGTGCCAAGAGCATACTCACCCCCGACGGACGGAGGACAGACAGACGCAGACGCAGACTCAGCAACAAGACTAGTGGCGTAGTCTAGGCGATAGGCTGCAGCAAAGTCAACAAGCTCAGCAACAAGAGCAGACGCAGCAGTAGACTCAAACAAAGGGTCAGTGACAGCAGTGGCCAGAAAGCGCGTGACAGCTGGACGAGCAGCACGAAGGGAGTCAGACTCAGGGTCCGGACCGTCAGGAAGAGAGGACGCAGGAGGGGACGGCAGAGGGACACGCTGTGGAGCAGTGGAAAGACGCAGAGTCATAGAGTGAGTGCCAGGGACAGGAGGAGGACGCGGACGCGAAACACGACCAGCGCGAACAGTATGGACAGGCGACGCAGAACGAGACTCAGGCGACACAGGACGCGACTCAGGCTCACGACGCTCCGTAAGACCTCTAGTCGGTCCAGAGTAAGGAGAAGAACCAGGCAGTGGAGAGGCCGGCTGTAACTGCGACTGGGACTGGACAGGCGGTGGACTCAGGAATGGAGTAGGACCAAGAACCTGCTGAAGGAGCGGAACGTAGTACGGCCGCGGCCGCGCAGCGCCTCCGGAAACAGCAGTGACAGCACCGGTACCCTCAGTCCCAGGGTCTCCAGCTACAACTCCTGCAGCACCACCAGTCCCAGCAGCTCCAGTACCTCCAGTATGAGCACCTCCAGGACCTCCAGCAGCACCAGTGCAACCAGCAGCTCCTGCAGCTGCAGCACCTCCTGCAGCTGCAGCACCTCCAGCAGCTCCAGCACCAGCAGCACCTCCAACAGCTCCAGCAGCACCTCCAGCACAAGCAGCAACTCCAGCAGCTCCAGCACCAGCAGCACCTCTAGCAGCTCCAGCAGCACCTGCAGCAGCTCCAGCAGCTCCAGCACTAGTAGCACCTCCAGCAGCTCCAGCACTAGTAGCACCTCCAGCAGCTCCAGCAGCACCTCCAGCAGCACCAGCAGCACCGCGACAGTGCCGAGCGTACCACTCACGAAGCTGCTGCGGAGAGAGGGGCTCCCGCCGCGATGGGACACCTAGAGCACCTCCAGACTCAGCACGCGCAGGCTCAGCACCTCCAGACGCAGTACCCTTAGGCTCCACACGCTCAGGCTCAGCACCCCCAGGCTCTGCACACCCAGACTCAGCACCCCCAGACTCCACACGCTCAGGCTCAGCACCCCCAGGCTCCGCACCCCCAGTCTCCGCATCCCCAGTCCCCGCACCCGCAGGCTCAGCACCCCTAGCAGCACCTGAGTCGACAGCTACCTCGACCGGCTCGGCAGGGTCTACCTGGGACACACCTGAGGGGGCAGGACCCTAAGGGGGGAGGGGGTCTACCCAGGGAGTACCTGGTGCTAGGAAGAGTGGCGGGGGGGGGGGGGAGAGGCAGTGCGGTAGGGAAAGAGACGGTAGTAAGACATCGACTCGTCAAACGTGACGTCCTGAGAGGACAGAACACGACGCGAGGTGGGGTGGTAGAACTGCCACCCGGGTGCGTCAGGGGGGAAGCCAAGGAAGACGCAGGGAACGGCACGGGAGGACAGCTTGTCCGCTGAAGTATCACGGACAAAAGCTCGAGATCCCCAGACACGGAACACAAACGCATCGCCAACCTTCCCCGTCCACCGCAGAGTAGGTGTGGTCTCCGGCAAAGAGACACGGGGCTGAAGGTTGATCTGATGCGCAGCATACTGAACCGCGAACGGCCACGGAAAATGGGGAGCAGCCGCATGGATCATGGACGTACGAGCGACATCCATGACCATGCCAATGCGGCGCTCAGCAATCCCATTTTGCTGTGGGGAGGCCGGAAGCGTGAATGTCTGGCGGATGCCCTCCGCACGACAGAAGGCCCTCAGAAGGTCAGAGGAAAATTCACCACCTCTGTCTGAGTGCAGGCGCAGAACAGGAAGGTCCGAGCCGAAAATCTCGCTGAGCTGGCGATGGGCACCGCGGATCCAGTCGATCAACACCTCAGTGACTTCACCCTTGCTGCGCAAGGGGAAGACTGAGGTGTAACGCAAGTAATCGTCAACGACCAGCAGGAAGTAACGCTCGTGACCCTGTCCACGGACGCGGGCTGGGCCCCACACGTCCATGTGGAGAGTCTGCAGGGGAGCCTCTGTCGGAGGGAACGAGGAGGAGTGAGGAGTGGCGCGCTGCCGGCCCTCGACACAAGGAACACTGGGGGCAGGCCCCGGAGGAAGGGGAGGAAGGCACCGGGGGAGACCCGAGACAAGGGTACGGGAGACCATACCTCGAAGACGAGGTAGGGAGGGGTGACCAAGGTGGTGGTGCCAAAGGAGAGTCTCGTGCGACAGAGGACGACACGAGTAGGGGGCAGACGCTGGACTAGACCTGGACGCGGCAGCAAACACCTGACTAGACGCGGCTTCCTGACCAGACGCAGTGACCGGAGGAGACGCAGTAGTCAGTGTGTACAGACTCGACCCAGGCCGACGAGTGAACGTGGCCAGGTGGCGGCCCGTCCGAGAGCAAGTGCAGTGGGTCACACGCTGACCTCTAGGGGTGAACTAGTCAACCAACGCGTCCTGGAGGTCAGCTCCACTCACCAAGTTCGTGGAGAACGAGGGGAGGTGGAGTCCCGACAGCAAGCCCGATGGGGCCGCAGGACACGGTAGAACCGTGGAAGAGTGTGCAAGGACTGGGCCCCCAGAGGGGTCAGGAGGTTCTGTCGCGAAAGAAGGAGCGCGAAGCACCAGAGTCAAGTGTGAAAGTGTGCAAGGCCTCAGTAGGTGCAGTACCAAAGAGAGCAGACTCACCAGCACCTGGAGCAGCAGACTCACCAGTACCTGGAGCAGCAGACGCACTAGCACCTAGAGCAGAAGCCTCAATGCCCGGGTCGGGCGGAACACTCAGGTAACAGTCACCCTCGGCACTATCAGTCACAGCATACATGGCAGCAAGGATAGCATCGAAATCAAGATCAAAGATAGCAACATTCTGCTTAAGCAGATCATCCCAGCGAGGGAGCTCAACAGCGTCAGGAAACTGGGCGCGCCAGGCGTCAGTCAGACGACCGAAGCAGCGCTGCGCAGTGTGAGGCAGCCCGCACGTATCCCCACGACGCCCGCCGGTGCGAAGAACGTAAGTGCAGGGACCAACACCCCCAGACCTCCCACGCCCAGCGTACCACTCACGAAGCTGCTGGACTGACGGGTTCTCACGGGAACGTGGCTGCTGCTGGCGCTGGCTACGACCAAAGCCTCCACGCTGCGCGGTTGCACCTCCACCAGCACCACCGCCGCCGCCACCTCCACCACCGCTGCCGCTGCC